CTTTCCCCCTCCCTCTCTCTCGTGCTCTCTCTCTCTAGTCAAACTTAAATAAATAAACAAATAAATAAATAAATAAATAAAAGTCGAATTTTTTTTTAAAAAAAGAATTATTTATTTTGGGATCAGTAGTTGGCGTAATGGCTATGTCGTTGAACTCCCATGTGGTCGACTGCTGTTCGAGTTCCGGACCCCCTGGCTTAAACTCACGCCGGGCACATGTGCTTGCATGCCCAAGATCCCGAGAGGAGAATGTAGGAGAAGGGATTGTGGTGCACCCATCGCCCTGGGGGGTGATTTCTCACTTTCTGTCTCTCTGTCTCTCTCTGTCTTTCTGGAGAGCGCACGCACCCTATAGCAAAAAACTCTCAAAAAATTATTTATTTAATGTTATTTATTATTACTTTTTAAATTTGACTAGAGAGAAAGTGAAAGTGAGAATGCAAGCCACCAGGTTCAGGACTGAAACCATGGTTGGCTACATAAGACTCCAGTGCCTCAACCACCATTCCACCTGCCAGCCACCCTTTATTTATTTATTTATTTATTTTTAAAGAGAGATTTTTGCTACAGGGTGCATGCACTCCCCAGAAACACAGGGAGAGAGACAGAGAGAGAGAAAGTGAGAAATCACACACACCCCTCTCCCCAGGGGAGATGGCCACATCACAATCCCTTCTCCTCTTCTCCTTTTGAGATTTTGGGCATGTACACACATGCACCCAGAGTGAGCTTCAAGCCACTGGGTCCAGAACGTGAGTCACAGTCAGCCATATAGGAGTCTAGAGCCTTAACCACTGTGCCACCTGCTGGCCCCTTAAGTTATTTTTCATGTAATGGGAGAATAAATGTACAAGCATATAAATGCAAAATACTACACCATGTTAATCATTATAATAAAAGAATACTGTATTAAAATTCCAGTGGGATTTTGGATGGATGGCTAAAAATCTGTCTGCTGGGACCAACAGATGATGTAATGGTTATGTCGCTGGATTCCTACATAGTTGACTGCAGTTCAAGTCCTGGACCCAGCAGCTTGAAACTCATGCCAGGTGCATGTGTGTATATGCCAAAAATCCTGAGAAGAGAATGGAGAAGAAGGGATTGCAGCATGACCATCCCTGTGGGGGATGATTTCTCACTTTCTGTCTTTCTGTGTCTTTCTGGCAAGTACACACTCCCTATAGCAAAAATCTCTCTCTCAAAAAAAAAAAAAATCTGTCTGCTAACTTATGGAAACTTTTAGGAGGAGGCTGGGAACATTTTTCTGAAATATTCTTGGGAGTTTCTCAGAGAGGTGATATAGAAGGCAATCAGATAAAAGAACAATTTGTGCCAAAGAACAGAGATGTAAGACAGCTGGTTGGACTTAAGTTTCAATTACTGGAAAATAAATTGTAAGTGGAAGTAGTGGAAAATGAGTTTACTATAAATGAATCATCTGGGATCATGAGAGATTTCATGTATGCACTAAGAAATACTCTGTAGGCAACAGGAGAATCACAGAAAAATGTCAAGCAGAGGAATGATATAAAGAGATGTGTAGGGGCCAGCAGGTGATGTAGTGGTTAAGGTGCTGGACATTCCCACATGGCCAACCGTGGTTCGAGTCCTGGACCTGGTGGCTTGCTTTCTCACTTCCCTTCTCTCTCTCCCTCTCTGTATCTATCGCTGGTCAAATTAAACTAAATAAAAATATTCTTTAAAAAAGAAAAAAGAGATGTGTATTTTAGAAAGATTACATAGAAATATAGAGGATGTTAAAAGTTGAGAAATATGGGCCAACCAGTGGCCTGGTGGTTAAGATAGCTGAATCCCATAGACCAACTGCACAGGTTTGTGTCCTGGACCCAGCAGCTTGAAAAACATGCCACACTAGGCCAGCAGGTGGCATGGAGGTTAGAGCACTGGGTCCCATGGGCTGGGTGCATGGTTCAAGTCCCTACCTGGCAGCTTGAAAACCATGTCATGTACATGTGCGTGCATGCCCCAAATCCCAAGAGACCAGAGAGGAGAAGGAATTGCAATGTGGCCATTCCTCCCAGGGGATGATTTCTTACTTTCCCCTCTTTCTCTCTCTCTGGCAAGCACATGCACTTTATAGAAAAAAAGAAAAAGAAAAAGAATTGAGAGGTATGGAATGAAATGCAATACATCATTAACAATATGATAAAGATCTAAATTGATACATTGGCAGTGAGAATGGAGAAGTAGGAAT